ATATATTAAGCTTACTAATATTTTAAATATTATTGTGGGTTTCAATAGAGAATAGAAGGATCTTAGTAAACATCTAAGATTTGAATACTTAAATGCTTTTTAAATGTGTTTTTTTGGTTGTGGGACAGAAGTTTGGACCAATCCTGTAGAATGGGCTATACACACACACACACACACACACACACACACACACACACACACTGCTGTTCAGAAGTTTAGGTCCAGTAAGTTTTTTTTTTGTGTGTGTTTTTTAAAAAGAAGTCTCACCAAGGCTGCATTTACATAATTGAACAAACTACAGTAAAAAGAGTAATATTGTGAAATCTTATTACAATTTAAAATTACAATTCCATTTTTTATATATTTAAAATATGAATGTTTATTCCTGTGATGGCAAAGCTAAATTTTCACATGATCCTCTAGAAGTTTGGATTTTTTTCAGGATTCTTTGATGAACAGCATTTATTTGAAATCGAGATCTTTTGTGACATTATACATGTCTTTACTTTCACTTTTGATCAATTTAATACATCCTTGCTGCATAAAAGTATTAATTTAAAAACAACAACAACAAAAAACCTTTTGATGTGTGTGTATATATAGTCATTTAAAAGATATAATGTGTGTGGCAGGTGAGCACGCGTGAAGAGGTGGAGGATCTGTGCCGTCTGGAGAAGATGATTGATCTGATCATTCCCCGCGGCTCCTCTCAGCTAGTCAGAGATATTCAGCGTGCAGCTAAGAGCATCCCTGTTCTTGGCCACAGTGAGGGGATCTGCCATGTTTATGTGGACCATGAGGCCAGTGTTGACAAAGCCATCAAGATCAGTAAGACTGCCAGTGAAGATTTACGAGTGTAGATGTTGTTGTTTTTTCCACATAGGTGTACTTCACAGACAACAATTTGATATTGTAGATTTATTGTTTATAATGGTTTAAATCACACTGGTTATGTTTTATCTCTTTAGTCCGAGACTCTAAATGCGACTACCCTGCAGCCTGTAATGCCATGGAAACCCTGCTGGTGCATCGAGATCTTCTCAGAACCCCATTGTTTGATCAGATCATTGACATGCTGAGAACAGAACATGTAAGACCACATATATATCCACAGTATGTCATTCATACTTAATTAGGCCTATACTCTGAGGACTGTAACCAGATCTGTCTTTGGTCTAGAAAAAAATAATATAGTGTTTCTATTGAAGCTTCTTTCTGCCTCAGGGTTAAACAAAACAAAAAATGTAAATGCAAATGCATACTATCGTTCAAAAGTTTGGGGTCGAAGATTATTAAAAATGTTTTTAAAAGAAGTCTCTTTCTCACCAAGGCTGTATCTATTTAAACAAGACAGTAATAATATGAAATTATTCCGATTACTATTTAAATATGTTTTAAAATAGTAAATGAATTAAACTTGATCAAATTCCTGTGACGGCAAACTTGAATTTTCAATAGCCATTACTCCAGTCTTCAATGCCACATGATCCTTCAGAGCTTATTTTATTTTATTACTTGTTTGATGCTCCAGAAAAAAATTAATGTTATTATAAATGTAAAAGCAGTTGAGCTGCTTAATATTTTTGTGGATACATAATGCATAAACCATGATACAATTTTATTTCAGGATTCTTGGATGAATAAAAAAGTTCAACAGCATTTACAGTGGGTATTGAAAAGAATCACCCCCCTTTAAAGTAATCACATTTTGTTGCTTTGTAGGCTGAAATGAAGATGGACACAGTTTTTGGTTTATCGAGCTGTATTTACTCAGTGCAGCTTATAACATCCAAGTGAAAGATATAACACCAACATGAAAAAAAAAAAAAAAAGCAGAATCATCTAGTTGGAAAAAGGATCACTCCTCTTGTGTCAGTATTTTGTTGAACCACCTTTTGCTTTAATTACAGCCTTTAGTCTGTTGGGATTTCTGTCTACTAACTTTGCACATGTAGGCTTTGCATTATTTGCCTACTCTTCTTTGCAGAACTGCTCAAGTTCAGTTAAATTTAATGATGAGCGTTTGTGGACTGCAGTCTTCAAGTCATTCCACAGATTTTAAGTCTGGGCTCTGACTAAGCCATGTAAGGACATTCACCTTTTTCTCCTTAAACCACTGTGTGGTCAGTTTTGCTGTGTGTTTTGGGTCATTGTCATGTTGGAAGGTAAACAACTTTCTGGCAGAGAGCAGCAGAATTTGAGGTTATTTTGCCCCATCCACTTTTCTTTCTATCCTGACAAGTGCTCCAGTCCCTGCTGCAGAGAAACACCCCCATAACAGGATATCACAACCTCCATGCTTTACTGTAGGAATGCTGTTATTTGGATGATGAGCTGTATTGGATTTCTGCCAGACATATCATTTTGTGTTGAGGGCAGATAATTACATTTTAGTCTCATCTGCCTCAGAATCTTCAAGGTGTCTTTTGGCAAAGCTCAGTCGTGACAGCATGTGGCCTTTCTTGAGGAGTGGCTTTTTTTCTTGCAACACTCCCGTACAAGCCACATTTGTGGAGATTTTGTGATATTGTTGTCACATGAACACAATGACCACTCTTTGTCATAAATTCTGTCTTCATTTCAGGCTGCATTATTTTAAAGGGGGTGATTCTTTATTCCCACTGTATTTGAATTACAATATTTAGTAAATAATTAAATTTGTTTACTGTCACTTTTGATCAGTGCAATGTGTCCTTGCTTAATAAAAGTATTAATTTCCTTAAAAAAAAAAAACTTTAGTACTGCTTGAGTAGTGTACATCTTAATTATATCTCACTGTTACTTTTCTTTTTTCTTCACTGTTCTTTTTCTTTTTGTGTGTGTGTGTCTTCCATATATTTCTGCATATTATAAAATGATAGTCTACATTTATAACTGCACTTTCTTAAAATTGTTTAAATTATTTGACTTTTGTAGGTGAAGATCCATGCCGGCCCCAAGTTTGCATCGTATCTGACCTTCAGCCCGTCAGAGGTCAAGTCTCTGCGTACTGAGTACGGGGATCTGGAGTGCTGTATCGAGGTTGTGGACAGTATGCTGGAGGCTGTTGATCACATCCATAAATACGGCAGTTCCCACACTGATGTTATCGTCACTGAAAATGGTAAGACGAAACATACACCTGCCTATAGTGGTTGACAATCATGAATAAATCTAGACTCTTGGTGTTAAAATTAATTGCAAGCTGTGTAAACGTTAAACTTGATGAAGTATGACATGCATTCGCTTTCAGTGCTCTATTGTGAACAAAAAAAGCAGTGCTGTAGTGCCATCTAGTGGGAACATTGATGCTTCCAAACATTTTTTTAAATTTTCTTTATTGAATTTATTTAATTATCATTATCTTTCACATACTCTTTGTAGAGGACACAGCAGAGCAGTTCCTTCAGCAATTAGATAGTGCCTGTGTCTTTTGGAATGCCAGCTCACGGTTCGCTGACGGATATCGTTTTGGTCTCGGTAGGTGTCTTTTTCTTTTTTGCTCATCCACAAACTTATTAAAATGTTTCCCCTTTTAATCTCATAATGATCCTGTGGTGCTTTGTAGGTGCAGAGGTTGGCATCAGCACGGCTCGTATTCATGCCCGTGGGCCTGTGGGGTTAGAAGGGCTTCTCACTACCAAGTGGGTCTTACGGGGCGAGGGCCATACAGCTGCAGATTTCTCTGAGCAGGGCAGCATGACATATCTGCACGAGAATCTTCCGGTGGCGCAGGTTCTTCCTGGATGCAGAACCACTAGCTAGAGTTGTGAAGTAAAAGCATGTACAGTCAAGAATCAAATACATCTTATTTAAGTAAAAGTTCACCCACTTAAAATCTATTTAAAGACTCCAATCAGGCAGTGTATTTGGAGTAAGTGCGAATACAAAGAAAATCATCTGTGGATGGAGAGCCGTTCAATGAACCCATACATTTAAATTTTCCCAGATACACCCATTTTAGTCAAGTGTGTCTTGTTCTCAGAAAGAACCAGACGAACGTATAGCTACAGAAACTCAGAAGGGTCATGCAAAGATGACAAGGGAATTTGCTTAAAGCTGTAATCCATCTGATTGTTTTTGTCATTTTTGTTATGATTTGTGCGTTGTATTATGTTCTTTTGAGTAGCAAAACGAATTACTGATCATGGAAAAAATAATGACAGCTTCACTCCAGTATGGAGTTAATGAAAAGAGGCCTCCCGAATTGCCCCTGTTATATATTTATGTCATATTTAATGTGTGAAAATGCAGTAGGAATTTCTAAATGAAATTTCATGACAAAAATTGGAGCATTAAAAATCATTGTGCCATTTTACAGCATATTGTGTACACGTAATTTCAGCTTTTATGGGAAAAATATATACATCACATTTAAAAAAAACTGTTATTAACTAAAAAAAGAATATTTTTCATGTGGCAGTACAAGTCATATACAGTAAAAGATAAGAAAACTATCAACTGAAAAAGAAACTAGAATTTTAAAGCTGCTTTGTCTGGATAAGTTACTTTTATTGAAGAGAAAACGCAAGAAAAGCAATCTTCCTTGCATTTTTTTTTTTTACTCATTGCTTTTTAATCATGATTAATAGGCAGAACTGTTAGCATTTCTGTTACTGCTGTAAAACTCACCCGGGACGGCCAGCTTTTGTCCTGAACTGCTTCAAAAAGGCCTCGTTTCCGTACTTTAAAGTGCTGTAACGCTCTACAAAATAGTGGTGCTTATAGTGTGAAAAGTGTTCTGAAGATGTTCACAATTTTTGTATGTAGAATAAATTTCTTTTTTGTACTTTCAAAAAGACCTGAAAGTTTAATTTGTACCTGAAAGAGGTTTGGAGAAGGGTTTAGGGAGGAAACCGACAAGTATTGGGCCCATTTTGAACTTGATTAATAATCTTTCTTAAGTGCAGTTCAGTGTGGAAAACATCAAGAGGCTTTTCTGTAGGGAGAGAGAGAATTGCCAACACTAAGTGGGACATGGAAGAGTGAAAACAATACTACAGAGGATTAATTGTGTTGCTATTAGGAAAGAAGAGACTGGGAGAAGACTGAGGCTTGCCATGAAAGTGCCAGTGCCTTTTGACTCACAAGTTCTTTTTATTCTCCAAAATGTGCGGTTTACCCTCAATGAGCCTTCATCAGAAACTAAAAAGATCCAGAGATGAAGAGAAACTAAGTTTCATTCATCTGTTATTGTGTTCCAACTTTACTGCGTAAGATCTATGATCAATGACTGTTTGGATGAAAGAGGTTAAAAAATGCTCAAATGAGGACAATGTTACTGCCAAATCAGGAGATGGAAATACAGGTGCAGAAGTAAGAAAGTAAAATTATGACTAACATGAGAAACAAAGCTTGCAGTGCTGATTTTCAAATCTAAGATCGTGAGTGTTGAACCTAAAGCTGCACGTTAAGATCTATTTTGTCAGTACAGTTTTATTCTGTTCAAATTATGACTGCTAAATAATTGTTGATTTGTTACTACTGCACATCAACCTGCGCCCAATATTTCACACGTCTGAGAGTTTAAAGCATATGGATGTGAAATTTAAAAGAACCGGTCTCATGGCAAACCATCGGACTTTCACAGTCAGTACAGCTTTAATTGAACATTACTTCTCATTCATCTGTTATTGTGTTCCAACTTTACTGCGTAAGATCTATGATCAATGACTGTTTGGATGAAAGAGGTTAAAAAATGCTCAAATGAGGACAATGTTACTGCCAAATCAGGAGATGGAAATACAGGTGCAGAAGTAAGAAAGTAAAATTATGACTAACATGAGAAACCAAGCTTGCAGTGCTGATTTTCAAATCTAAGATCGTGAGTGTTGACCCTAAAGCTGCACGTTAAGATCTATTTTGTCAGTACAGTTTTATTCTGTTCAAATTATGACTGCTAAATAATTGTTGATTTGTTACTACTGCACATCAACCTGCGCCCAATATTTCACACGTCTGAGAGTTTAAAGCATATGGATGTGAAATTTAAAAGAACCGGTCTCATGGCAAACCATCGGACTTTCACAGTCAGTACAGCTTTAATTGAACATTACTTGAGGCGAAAACTCATTTCTTGTGCTTCCTTGGATATTTAGAGACTCAAATGTGCTCCCTGCAGAGCTTAATTTTTTCAAATCAATAATTAATTATCAAAGTTCTTTATTCATTTGTATCTTTGCCAGATATGGGCTTCTAATTAACTATTTCAATAATTGATATTTATCTTTGAAAGAGCTTGGTATCCATACCTTATGAAAAATGCATGAACTGAGATATGGACTTGGTTTTGTTTTGTGTTCTGAGTGAGCCGCTTGCTCGGGGCTAAGACCAGGCCACTTTGACTTTTCCTCTGAGTCTGTGTTGCCCTATGATGTGCTGCTACTATGGGGCCTCTTTCAAGGGCCCAAAGCATCTGCTAGACATCATGTGATCTTATAAAAGTCTTTTGCTCTTCCATCCTCAGATACCCCTTTTTTGTTCTTTAATAACTCAGTTCAAAGGACAAGCGGTTTCCTTAATAATTTCCTTTTGTCTCTCAGGCACGAGATGACGTCATGTACGCATGCAACAACATTTTGGCATGTTTCATTCATTCAAGATTTCTGCGGGTTTTAAAAAGGTCTTAAAAAGTCTTAGTTTGCCCTTTCACAAATTAAGGCCTTAAAAGGACTTAAATTCATAAAATCATGGCATTAAATGTTGCATGCACTGCAAAAAATTAATATCTTTGACAGTATTTTTTTGTCTTGTTTTTCAAAACAAATATCTAAACATTTTTTTTTTTTTTTAATTGAACAAAATTAAGTACGTTTATGCTTAAAACAAAAATCTGAATTACCCCAAACTTTTGAACAAAAGGGAAACTTAATTCATCAAAAATCTAAGGCTATTGGCAGATATTTTTGCCTTATTTAATCACAAATTCATTTAATTTTGATACAAGACAAAAATATTCACTTTTATGCAGTGTGATCAGAAGGTAACGTAAAAGTTATTTCCATATTTTAGTTGAGCTATTTTTTGGTTTAAAAAATTGCAGTGCTGCTAACACAACTCATTGCCTCTTCCATATTGACGAGTTGTGTTCCCTTTAATTTTCTTTAATTGATCTCAAAAAGGTCTTAAATTCACCTCCCTACACTTTTCAGAAACCCTATAATTGCACGGCATTCAGAGTGTACAAATGTCATTTGTTTGATTTTAATCAAATTTTCCTTTATTTCCAGTTGTAGTTGGGAAGGGAAAGGTGCTGATAAAATAGTTTGCTCAGTCAACAGTGCTAAAAGAGACAAATAGCCCTAATTAAGTGAGGTTAAGTGGCATTTGTGCCGGAATAAAGCAAGCATCACAAATACATTCAGCATGACGGATGCACAGGCCTGATCACCTCGAGGTGATTGAAGGTCAGACGTAGTCGCTGCATGGACAGGCAGTGCTGTTGACACATTGGGAGAGGTGGTTGTGTGATTTGGATCTTCAGTTGACGTCAGTCACACGTCGCAGGGAGCCCATGGTAGGACTTGGGCTGCCCCACTCAACGTATCTCCTGTATTCGCCGGGGCGCAGGAAGAACTGGCGGCCAGTGTAGTTGGGGTGCTCGTGGAGGGTCCAGTAGCCTTCCATGACATTTGCTGAAGAGATGTCTCCATTGTGGAATCGCTGACGCAGGTCAGGGCAATCTTCATTCAGCTCCATTGCCTGACCACCAAAATCAGAGCGCTCAAAGATTTTCATCCTGTAGTTTCCAGTGTACTGGGGAAGAAATAATCGGAGTTGTATTAAAAAAAAATCTCCAAAGATGTAAAGCATTGCTCTGATTGATCAGACCCAACACTGGATCAGCCAATAGCATGAGTTTGGGGTGGGAGTATCTATTCGGTTGACCAATGGCAGACAAGGTGAGTGTTTAGGAAACCTGTTTGTTTTCATATCATATAAACAGAGTAAACATCCCAAACTTTAAAAACAAAAGAATAAAAAAAGAGAAAATTACAAAATACTGTCTTTTTTTTTTTTTGATGAACTAGATTCTCCCAACCTAACCTACATAATTCAACTCTTAACTTGCTGATGCAAAGTGAAAATATTTCCTATCACAATAGATTATTTTTAAATGTATTTTTTTTCTGCTTCTACTGACTGTACAGTAAAGACTCACTGGAGGAACCAAGCGACAGGAACGAATGCAGTCGTTGAATCCAGCCCAGCGCTGGAAATCAGAGTATTCACCCTTGGAAAGCATGTACTGGTATCCAGCATAGTTGGGCCTCTCGTAGGCCACCCAGCTTCCGCTTTCTACTCGGATGGAGTTGCAGCGAGAAAAGTGGGCCTGCATGTCAGTGCAATCTCCAATGCACTCATAGTGACGGCCCTGGAAGTTTTTGTCTTCAAAGAAAGTAATCTGTGGGATAGTTATAATAAAAGAAAAATACAGGATTACAGGTACATTTTTAGTTTGTAGTTTCACTTTTTCTTGAGTATTTTATCTGATTTGTATTTATTTACTTATTTTTGTGAGAAGTTACATGGAAAATCTGAAATGTTCTTTTTAATAGTAATTTTTGTCTTCTGTATGACAACTTATCTTTTAATCCAGTTAACTGTTTTATAATTTTTCAAAAGTTTTGATATATTTCCTTCACCATTAAAAAAATAACAGCTGTTCTATGTTTTGTTCGAATTTATTTTGAGGAGTTAAAAGCATGGTTTCGGGTAATGGGGATGAATATCCTAAAACCTTGATCTGTGAAATTTACAGACAGAATTTGGTCACTTACCTTGCCCATTGTGACTGTTCTCTAAGCGGACCAAACCATTTCTGAGGTCAGGATCTCTTTATAGACCCGGCATGGATCAGGGCTTTGTGTGTGACTCACAAAACTCTGTCTGGTCAGCACAATGTGTTCTATAGAGTGGATGCGACTGTAGATCTGCCTGTGCATGCCCCCCTTTGTGTCTTTGCAACCTTTTTTCCTCTCTCTCCAAAGACAGCACCACTGCACTTTTCAGTGCTTGACAAAAAAGTTGCAAACTCTGCTTTTAGTTGCTTCAGGGCTTTACATGTAAATGCCATGAACTGGCAGGACACATAAATGAGGATAAAATGGTAATATGAAGCTGGGATATAAAGTGATTTAAACACGATTTAATTGAATTTGTCCTCTCACATAAAAGTTCTGTTTTATGGTTTGGAATGAGACTAAAATTAATTCTTCAACCACGTCAGATTTATAAAGTTGAGTTTTGAGCTTGAAACTGACATGCAGTCTTTTTTTTTTTTTTATGTGTACTGGGCAATGGATCAATGGATCCTTATTCGAAAAACAACTGGCAGGCTGAAGAAACTTTTTCCGACGCTACCAAATAATTTAAAGCATCATGAAGAAAAAGACAGGATGCAAGACCTGTTTTAATCAGTTTTAACGTCTTTAATGCTCATACAAAAAGACTCGGTTTACATTAAACTGCTCCTCATTCTCCTAAAGGAGCCAATCATGGGATTCATGCAACCCCATTCGCTGCAGGCTCTGTATTCTCCGGGCCGCAGGAAATACTGACGGCCTCTGTAATTTGGGTGCTCGTAAAAGGTCCAGTAGCCCTCCATACAGTTACAGGAGTAGATGCTGTGGTAGCCAAAACGGTCGTAGACATTGGGGCAGTCGTCTGTGGACTCCATCATGTGTCCGTACATTTCAGGTCTGTTGTAGATTCTCATGCGGTAGGCACCTCTGTACTGTTGTGTGGGGAGAAAACAGCAGTTAGGGCTTTAGAGGAATCAATAATCAGGGCAATGCAGAGACATTTGAGAGACCAGTTGTCAGAATGTTAGGGAGAAAACTCTGAAAATTCTTGAAGTCGCTGTTGAGACTGAGCCTTTGAACGTGACTTCCTGCCGTAAACGTGCAACTTTCAAAGATTTTCAAGTAGACGTTTAGTCATTTTTGTTGAACAAACTCTAGTGACAGTGTCATGATTCTTCCACTGTCAAAAACAGAGATGAATGGAATTATGATGAGCTGCGCAGTCATTGGAGCGTGTCTTGCTCCAATTCAAATAACTAAATCTCCTGGTGGACCTGTGAACCTGTTTTTTTTCCCCTGCATATATGAATTACTTCAAAGAGCTCGTTGATTAGGTGTCTAACTGTGTGAAATAAAACCCATCAGTTTGATTGACTTACTGGGGAGAACATCTGACAAGATCTGATACAACTGTTGAAGCCCATCCAGTGGTGAAAGTTAGGATACTCCCCACGGCCCAGGACGTACTGATACCCCATATAGTTGGGCTTCTCATAGCCCACCCAATGACCCCCCATGACCCTAATGGAGTTGCAGCAGTTGAAGTGTCTGTAGGTGTCATGGCAGTCAGCAGAGCACTCATAAGAGCGCCCCTGGAAGTTGGAGCCTTCGTAGAAGATGATCTGATGACAGAAAGCCACAGAGGACAGTAAAGATGTTAGCAAAGAACAGATGAATAATCTAAGTGGCGAAGGAATATCCCAATTGTGTCCATTCTTATGTGAAAGTTCTATAGAAAGCTGTTATGGCTAAACCTCCATGAAAGATTGTCTGAATATTTATACTGGAAGAAAAATTTGGACA